GAGGGAGCGAGTTCATCTCCAATTAGTTTTAGGTGAGTGACTAGATATACAGTGTTTTGTCAGGCTTCTGACAGATTTTAATTTCATTCTGGATCATTTTAAAGTGTACTTTGCATTATCGAATTAAACTGTAGTTTCTTTTGGGGACCTTGGTAGATCGAAAGGTAGATTAGAAATACTATTGCAGCTGGATTTGTGATAAAAAAAGTAATAGATGTGGACCAGCAGAAAAAAACAGCCAATTTGATCTCCGCAATTGGAACAATTCTTAGAACTTCTGTTGATATGTATAGGAATTTTTTTAAAAAACCTAAAAAATATAGTTGCACAGATCATAGCAATAGTATACATTTCTAACAAGTATCTTCTTTTCAAAAAATTTTACATACTCAGATAAGTGCATTTCTACCCGCTTGAGAAAGATCATATAATGTCTCCATTACATAGCTGCTGCCTTTTCTGAGGCAACATCTCCTGTATTCCCTTTTATCTTACACAGAGGCGGAGGAAGGAAGAGTAGTGACGACTGTTTCCTACTGCTGAGTGGTATTATACTGCAGTAGGAAATAAGAGCAGAGTTCAGACCATGATACAGAGGAAAGTGGTTTCCATGCCAATTCCATGACAAAATCTTCAGGATTTCCCCCACAAGAGAATGTTAAAATCCAAACTTTACAATATTAGGCATTATGCAAATCAATTCAGAAAACTATTAAAGTGGGCAATCATTGGCTTCCAGTATTTAATACTTGGCAATAAATAAGTCTGATGACAGAAGCTTAAGTTTTCAGAGGATAAATACTCTCTTGAATTATATATCTAATATATGGAATTTGACAACTGGACAATATAAATGGATTTTCTGTGTCCAGACTGATATTACAACAATGGAATGATAAATTTATGGCCCCATTTACTGAAAGAACGAAGTCCTGATTACACTTGCTACTTATGGATTCCATATACACATAAACTTTGTATGAATAGATATAATGAAACATGAGACTGATTTATACAAAATACAATAGGTTAAAATGTTTGTTGTTATATAAGTGTATTAGAAATGGAATCCACTTATATAACTATAGAAATATATATAGGAAGACATAAACCACCCATATAGGTAAGACAGGAATTTTATTCTCTCTCTCACACACACACACACACGTATTTACTAGAAGTATGTGTGTGTGTGTATACTTATTTGCATGTTTTATTAGATAATTATACACAGAATTGTAACTTTTACTGTTGCAACGATATACTATGTATTTTTTTCTGTTGTATTTTTTCACTTGTTAAGCATTTAAGCATTTGTTATATTTTTATAATGCATGTATTTTTGTGTTTTGTTCCTTTTGTGTTTTTTCTTTTTTTGTTATTATTAAAAAAACACCTTAGCATCTTCCAGAAATCTAATACCATTAGGGAAATACCAATATAAAGGAGGACAGTGTACTAATAGCTAATTGTTATGAATACCACATAAGTTTTAAAATCTTCTTTTAATCCTTAACTTTCTCTAAGTTCCTAAGATTTTAAGATGGGGAAACAAGTTCATGAGTTAAATAATGATAAAAGAGTCATATATTATTATGATCTCAGTCTCAACAGAAATTATCTGATCCTAGAATTTAGCTAACACTATATGAAAAAAATAATAATCTATATAGGCAATCTCTGGAATACAAAATCTTGTTTCCATCATTGTTTCCTTCTCATATATGATATGATCAAGAGAAAGACTCCAGGATGCTGTTGTAACGTTAAACAGTCCCTAAACAAATGATTGTAAGTAATACCTGTATTAACTGCACGTGAAGAGGACTGGTCTATATTCTCTATCAAACCTGAAAATTTAATTTAGGAGAAAGGAACAGGAGGTTTTAAGTAACTCCAAAGAAATCATTACTTAAAACTGCAACCAAGAGGAGCAAAGTCAGATTTGCTCTCCTAACTTTATAAACATTCCCAGAAACTTTTAAAAAAGCAAATAAAAACCTTTTCTTAGCTTTTTTCACCTACCCTTCTTATTAGGTCTTCAACATTATCATGCGGGAAGGATCGGATGGCTGCTATAGTCCGGATCAAGCGCTCTGACAAAGAATATTTACTCTGGATGCTCTGCATAATATACCACATACTGGAATTCAGTTTCCTTGGTTACTTTACATGCTCCAAGTTGCCTGAAGAAGAACAAACAAAAGAAGAACTTTTTAAAAGTACAATTTCTTTAAAAAACTACGTAGAAATCCCAGCAAGATACTGTATATAGTAATAGCATTAAAAAAATATCATCAGATTGTTGCATTCATTAACCTATGATGGTGAGGAAAAATTAATCAAGAATATAACCTGAGGTTTAAGAGGTGGCTCATACTTACCTGGACAGTACATGTACAACTAAAACATATCTTCCAAATTAATCCATTCAGAAAAATCAACTGGTATCGGCTGACATTAGAGAATTATTAAGAGATGATAAAGATCATAAATACTTCATGCAAAATGGATTAACTGCATTGAAATCAAGAAATAAAGAGAGCAAACTGATGAAAACACCTTGAAAATAATATCTGAAATATTATGAAAATAAGATAATTAATCCAAGTAATTTGGTTGGATTACGTATTTATTTTCACTATTACATTTGTTTTTCTAGGCTGCTAGGAAAACAATTATCTCTGCCACATTTCCAGCAGCCTTTGTTGGATCTTTCCTACAATGGATGAAGTCTGCACCTTAAGGGTCCTTCCAGAGCTCCACTATCAAATAGATAAATGAAGCTGCTCCTACCAATTTAGTCTGGTATGATATATATAAAACTATTAACTAGATGTTGATGGACTCACTTTAATAACCTAACCGAACTAGTAAAAGCTATGTAGGATCAGATTTGGTTATCACTAATCTCACAGCTGCATGGGTAGGTACCAATAGATAAGCAGGCAGGCAGATTCCATAGGAGACTAACAAGAAACCTCAGGTGTAGATTGAGAAAATAAATAAATTCTAGTAGATGACATTGGAAAATTATTTTCAAACTGTTGCTAAGAAAGGACTTCATAAAGACACCAGGAGATGAGCTCAACTCAACAGAGACTTCGTTAGATTACTATCTTTAGAGACAATTCTGAAACATCAATTAGTACAAAATACAGCCACGGGAGCATAACTGTTTGCATTACACCTTTTGGCATGACCTTCACAGGCTGCCAACTCTTTTCCAGTTTTGATTCAAAATCCTCAACCTAACCTATAAAAGTCTTCCCACGTTTGGGACCACAGTCTGAACCTTTTTACATATATTCCTATCAGCAACTTAGAGTCATTTTCTAAGTCCTGCTCCAGTTGCCTTCTTAGGCTAAAATCTGACAACTGGTTGCCTGGTAGTGGATCTTCTCAATGGTAAGAATAACTGCATCACAGTGAAGCATATCTGGATCTAACTTTAGAATCTTTCTAGCACCAAGCAAAGTTATTTTACTTCCCCAAGCCTTTTAATATATTAATATGTTTACTGTATACTGCAATATTTTAAATGCACATTTACTGACTATGCTTTTATTGTTAATATATTGCATTTTAATTATTACTATGGGCTAAAATGTGATTTTTTTTTACTATTGTAAATTTCTCTGGAAAAACTCTGCTTGAAGGCTAGTAGGACAGGACATCATTATGGATTATCAAGATTGTAAACTAGGCAAAAAGGTTGCAAAACATCCTAAAAAAGGCACTGACAAACCATAACTATTCATATAATCACCAGGAATCAATGGTATTTTAAGCTTTTTTAAACAAAAATTTACAATAAATGCATTGGATTAAAAATTCTAGAATTTTTAGTCAGCATGATCAACAGACCTGGAAANGAGGGAGCGAGTTCATCTCCAATTAGTTTTAGGTGAGTGACTAGATATACAGTGTTTTGTCAGGCTTCTGACAGATTTTAATTTCATTCTGGATCATTTTAAAGTGTACTTTGCATTATCGAATTAAACTGTAGTTTCTTTTGGGGACCTTGGTAGATCGAAAGGTAGATTAGAAATACTATTGCAGCTGGATTTGTGACAAAAAAAGTAATAGATGTGGACCAGCAGAAAAAAACAGCCAATTTGATCTCCGCAATTGGAACAATTCTTAGAACTTCTGTTGATATGTATAGGAATTTTTTAAAAAAACCTAAAAAATATAGTTGCACAGATCATAGCAATAGTATACATTTCTAACAAGTATCTTCTTTTCAAAAAATTTTACATACTCAGATAAGTGCATTTCTACCCGCTTGAGAAAGATCATATAATGTCTCCATTACATAGCTGCTGCCTTTTCTGAGGCAACATCTCCTGTATTCCCTTTTATCTTACACAGAGGTGGAGGAAGGAAGAGTAGTGAGGACTGTTTCCTACTGCTGAGTGGTATTATACTGCAGTAGGAAATAAGAGCAGAGTTCAGACCATGATACAGAGGGAAGTGGTTTCCATGCCAATTCCATGACAAAATCTTCAGGATTTCCCCCCCCCAAGAGAATGTTAAAATCCAAACTTTACAATATTAGGCATTATGCAAATCAATTCAGAAAACTATTAAAGTGGGCAATCATTGGCTTCCAGTATTTAATACTTGGCAATAAATAAGCCTGATGACAGAAGCTTAAGTTTTCAGAGGATAAATACTCTCTTGAGTTATATATCTAATACATGGAATTTGACAACTGGACAATATAAATGGATTTTCTGTGTCCAGACTGATATTACAACAATGGAATGATGAATTTATGGCCCCATTTACTGAAAGAACGAAGTCCTGATTACACTTGCTACTTATGGATTCCATATACACATAAACTTTGTATGAATAGATATAATGAAATATGAGACTGATGTATACAAAATACAATAGGTTAAAATGTTTGTTGTTATATAAGTGTATTAGAAATGGAATCCGCTTATATAACTATAGAAATATATATAGGAAGACATAAACCACCCATAAAGGTAAGACAGGAATTTTATTCTCTCTCACACACACACACACGTACTAGAAGTATGTGCGTGTGTATACTTATTTGCATAATGTTTTATTAGATAATTATACACAGAATTGTAACTTTTACTGTTGCAACGATATACTATGTATTTTTTTCTGTTGTATTTTTTCACTTGTTAAGCATTTAAGCATTTGTTATATTTTTATAATGCATGTATTTTTGTGTTTTGTTCCTTTTGTTTTTTTCTTTTTTTGTTATTATTAAAAAAAACACCTTAGCATCTTCCAGAAATCTAATACCATTAGGGAATACCAATATAAAGGAGGACAGTGTACTAATAGCTAATTGTTATGAATACCACATAAGTTTTAAAATCTTCTTTTAATCCTTAACTTTCTCTAAGTTCCTAAGATTTTAAGATGGAGAAACAAGTTCATGAGTTAAATAATGATAAAAGAGTCATATATTATTATGATCTCAGCCTCAATAGAAATTATCTGATCCTAGAATTTAGCTAACACTATATGAAAAAAAAAATCTATATAGGCAATCTCTGAAATACAAAATCTTGTTTCCATCAGGCAACTGCGCATGCCTGAAGATGGCGGACGTCCGTTTCGTAGCTCCGCAGTAGTGGAGCCGAAAATGGGCAGAGGGGACCCTTGGAGACCCCCGAAGGTCTGGAGACCCGTCTGGAGACCCGTCCCCAGGTTGACTTCTCCCCGGTGAGTTCCCCGGGAATGCGAGGGGACGTGGGAACGTGGAGCCGACCGGGTAGCCGTTTGTTGGCCTGTTCGGCCTTTTCGTCCTTCGGCGGCCTCGGCGGCCTCGCTGGCGGTTTCTCCAGCGACCGGCGGTCTCTCCAACGGCTGGCGGTCTCCCTTGGCCTCGGAGACATTTTTGACGACCTCAGCGGTCTTCCTGCGGCCCTCTCGGACCTGATGGCCTTTCCGGTAGCCTCGGCGGCCTCTTTAAGAACTGTGCCAGCGGCCCCGATGGCCCTTCCAACGGCCCCTTCGGCAATCCATTTCGGCCTCGGTGGCCTTCGGACGGCTTCTTCAGCAGCCCCGGTGGCCCCGATGGCCCCTCCAGCGGCCCTTTGCTGGTCTTTGGGCCTCGGTGGCAGTTTCGGCGGCCGCGATGGCCTCGACGGCCTGTTTAGCGGCCTCTTTGAGGGCCCTTTCGGCCGTCCCGGTTCCGGTGGCGTTGGTGGCCCCTTCGGCAGCCTTTCGGCTTTGGAGCTTTTCCAGCGGCTCTGGCGACCTCAGCGGCCTTTTCAACGGCCTCGGCCAGGTGAGGATTTGGGGCCTGGTTTTGGACTTGGCCCGCCCCGGCCTAGAGGACCTGGTTCTGGAGGACTTAAGGACTACCCCTCGAGGTCAGACTCTTTGTTTCCCTGGCTTTGGTTAGAAGACCTGAGATCTACCAAACAATCATCTCCCCTCTGTGCCATGGACTCCCTTCGCCGGACGGTCCTGGACGGTCCTGCTGGCCCTGCGCGACTCACCCCTCGCGCAGGCCTGGCCCAGGACGGTCCTGCTGGCCCTGCGCGACTCACCCCTCGCGCAGGCCTGGCCCAGCAACATTTCTAGGGCCTACCTCGAGGACGGGGTGTGGAACCCCGAGAGGTGGCATGCAGTGGTCACTAACAAAAAATTGTTTAAATTATTTAATTTGAGAGCGTTTTTACAGGGGTGTTTTAATAAATTTTTAGGGGGAACCAGGGTGGGGGGGAGGGGGGAGGTT